TGTTGTGTGTGTGTGTTGTGTGTTGTGTGTTGTGTGTTGTGTGTTGTGTGTTGTGTGTGTGTGTGTTGTGTGTGGTGTGTGTGTGTGTGTGTGTGTGTGTGTGTGTGTGTGTGTGTGTGTGTGTGTGTGTGTGTGTGTGTGTGTGTGTGTGTGTGTGTGTGTGTGTGTGTCTGTGTGTGTGTGTGTGTGTGTGTGTGTGTGTGTTTTTGTGTGTGTGTGTGTCTGTGTGTGTGTGTGTGTCTGTGTGTGTGTGCGGAGTGACAGAATACCCTGTCACCACAATTGAGCGCAGGGGGGCGATGGTTCCTTTGGTGTGCATCGCCCAACGAAGACCGCACCGCTGGACTGACGTACCTGCCGTGATGCAACGTCCTTTTGGCCCCCTTGGTTGCGGCGCTGTTTGTGCTTCTTGTTCTTTCGGGTAACGTTTTCGACACTAGAGGGAAGCCGAGTGCATTGCGAGCCGAAACTTATGCATGAAGAACCTTATCCAAGCCGAAACTTGCCAGTTGTACTCGAAAGATTAGCACCCTCCATCTGGAGTTTAAGTGTATGTGTGTGTGTGTGTGTCTCTGTGTCTGTGTGTGTGTGTGTGTGTCTGTGTCTGTGTCTGTGTCTGTGTCTGTGTCTGTGTCTGTGTCTGTGTCTGTGTCTGTGTCTGTGTCTGTGTCTGTGTCTGTGTCTGTGTCTGTGTCTTTGTGTGTGTGTGTGTGTGGGTGTGTGGGTGTGCGTGCGTGCGTGCGTGCGTGCGTGCGTGCGTGCGTGCGTGGGCGGGTGGGTGGGTGGGTGGGTGGGTGTGTGTGTGTGTGTGTGTGTTTGGGTGTGTGTTTTCGCGTGTTCGTGCGTCAAGCCAAATATTGTTGTTTTTCCCCAAGCAGCGAAGCATTGGGGTTCTAACTTGAGGTATAGAGAATGGGAAAGTGTGACGCCGGTTCCGGGGTCCTGTTTTCCGCTTGTCTTCCTGTCTCCCAGTCTCTCCGGTCGGATGCCAGATGCTGTGACGCTGGGTCCAGGGTCGTTTCCCCGCTTGTCTCCCAGTCTCTGCGATCAGATGCCAGATCATGTCTCCGCTTCTCTCCCTGTGTCTCCAGTCTCCGCGGTTGTCGGCTCCGGGGTCGTGTCTCCCCCTTGTCTCCCGAGACACAGGGAGACAAGCGGGAGACACGACCCCAGCGGGAGACACGAACCCGGGAGACAAGGGAGACAAGCGGGGAAACGAGTGACGCTCTCCCAGCCTCTGCGGTCAGATGCCAGAGCTGTGTCGTTTCCCCGCTTGTCTCCCTGTGCTCCGGGGTCGTGTCTCCGCTTGTCTCCCTGTGTCTCCCAGTCTCTGCGGTCAGATGGTCGTTTCTGCGGTCAGATGCCAGATGCTCTGACGCCGGCTCCGGGGTCGTGTCTCCGCTTGTCTCCCTGTTTGTCCAGTCTGCGCGGTTGGCTCTGGGGTCTCCCGCTTGTCTCCCTGTATCTCCCAGTCTCTGCGGTCAGATGCCAGATGCTGTGACGCTGGCTCCAGGGTCGTGTCTCCCGGCTTGATGCCAGATGCTGTGACGCCGTCGTGTCTCCCGCTTGTCTTTCTGTGTCTCCAGTCTCTGCGGTCAGATGCTGCAGATTTCTCACTTGTTAGCTTGTGTTACAGACTGGGACTGTCCTAATTTTACTTAAATCCGCTCGTTTTGCACAGACCTAGGTTTCATATTGGCGCCTGCCCGCCTGCCTGCGATGGAGACCAGCTCTCCCAGCAAAAAGTCTGATGCGCCGAAGATGACCAGACAAATGGAACAAAGCCAACTTACAAATGACAAACTGCTTAAAAAGAAGGCTTTTTCCTTACAAAACAAGTGCTCTTATTTGTTTAAGTAGTTCTTAAATGTGATTGAAGTAGTTGTGAAAAATACGCAAGTTTTAAGACGAGAATGCTTCTTAAATATTTACGTAAAACGAACATTTTTTCGTAAATCCTTCGCTTCTAGAAGTGTGTTGATTGAATTTATACATATGTATCATGTAGTTCTGATGTAGGTTCAGAAGCAAATACATCAAATTAAAACTGTTTAAGATTATATGACTACTTCAAGCTCTTCAGAAGAATAGTGCATGAAGTGTCCATGGTTGTTTTGTTTGACCGGCTGTTGTTGCTGGCTTTTTCCCGTGAAATTTGCATGAACTGTCTAGAGGCACTTTCCCAAAAAGGTTGCAGGATTTTCCATGACATTTCCATGCATTTTCCATGAAGTTTCCATGGTTGTTGTTCTTTTGACCTGCTGGGTTGTTGCTGGCCTTTTTCGATGAAATTCGCATGAACTTCCTACATGAACTTTCCAAGACAGTTTCCACGATTCTGCATCAAGTTTCCATGCATTTTCCATCACGTTTCCATGGTAATTGCTTTTGTTTTTGACCTGCTGGGTTGTTGCTGGTTTGTTTCCATGAAATTCCCATGAACTGTCCACAGACACTTTCCTAGAAAGTGTCCACTCTTGTCCATCAAGTTTCCATGCGTGTGGACCTGCTGGGTTTTTGCATAACTTCCCACATGCACTTTCCACGACAGTTTCCACGATTGTGCAACAAGTTTCCATGCATGTTCCATGAAGTTTCTATGGCTGTTGACCTGCTGAGTTGTTGCTGGTTGTTTCCCATTAAATTTGCATGAACTTTCCACAGGCACTTTGATAGAAATATTCCACTGTTTGCCATGAAGTTTCCATGCATTTTCCATGATGAAGTGTTCCTGTATGTTTTTTTTTTTTTTATGTTTCATTCTTTTTGTTTTTTTCCGCCTGCTGGCTTGTTGCTGGCTTGTTGCCATGAAATGCCAATGAACTTTTCACAGGCACTTTCCTAGAAAGATTCCACTGTTTTCCATGAAGTTTCCATGCATGTTCCATGAAGTGTTCATGAATGTTCCATGCATTTCTTACTCATTTTCTATGCACTTTCTATGCATTTTCTATGCATTTCTTATGCATTTCTTATGCACATGTTATGCACTTTTTATGCACTGTTAAAAGTGCATAGAAAATACATAGAAGCTAGGCAAACGTGCATAAGAAATGCGTAAGACATGCATAGGAATGTAAAGTGCATAAAAAGTGCATAGAATTGCATAAGAAATGCATACGACATGCATAGAAAAGCATGGACAATGCATGGAAACTTCATGGAAAACAGTGGACTCTTTCTAGGAAAGTGCCTGTGGAAAGTTCATGGGAATTTCATGGGAAAAAGCCAGCAACAAGCCAGCAGGTGAAAACACACATCCATGAACACTTCATGGGAAATGCATGGACACTTCATGGAACATGTGGAATCTTTCTAGGAAAGTGCCTGTGGAAAGTTCATGGGAAATTCATGGGAAAAAGTCAGCAACAAGCCAGCAGGTGAAAAAACACCATCCATGAACACTTCATGGAACATGCATGAAAACTTCATGGAACATAGTGGAATCGTTTTAGGAAAGTTCGTGGGAATTTATTGGGAAAAAGTCAGCAACAACCCAGCAGGTCAAAAAAACAACCATGGAAACTTCATGGAAAATGCAGGGAAACTCGATGCAAAATCGTGGAAAACTGTCTTGGGAAGTTCATGTGGCAAGTTCATGGGAATGTCATGGAAAAAGCCAGTAACAACCCAGCATATTAAAAAAGCAACAACCATGGACACTTCATGGAACATGCATAAAACCTTTCATGGAACATAGTGGACTCTTTCTAGGAAAGTGTCTGTGGAAAGTTCATGGGAAATTCATGGGAAAAAACCAGCAACAACCCAGCAGGTCGAAAAAATACAGCCATGGAAACTTCATGGGAAATAGTGGGCTCTTTCTAGGAAAGTGCCTGTGGAAAGTTCATTACAGTTTCATGGGAAAAAGCCAGCAACAACAGCAGGTAACAAAAACAACCATGGAGTAGCTATATAATCTTTCACATTTTTATTTTGCTGAATTTGCTTCTGAATCAAAACTTGTTTCACTGTGAATGCACTTGTAAGTAAATCTCGCAGCCTGAATCACTACTTGGGTCAGTAAGAGTACTCAGGTGAGTAAATCTGGCAGCCCGGGGAAAAAGCCAGCAACAACCAAACAGGCCAGAAAAGAAAAACCGCGGAAACTTCACGCAGCGTTCTTCCCAAGAGCTTGGACTAGCCATATGATCTTTATCAGTTTTATTTTGACGAATTTGCTTCTGTATCTATACCTGTGTCAGAGTGAATGCACATGTAAGTACATCTTGCTGCCTGAATCACTTACTTGTGTCAGTGTGAATGCACAGGTAAGTAAGTCTCGCATTCTGAATCACTTACTTGTGTCTATGAATTTGCTATGAATTTATGAGTTTTCCATGAATTTCCATGCATTTCTTATGTGTTTCTTATGCATGCTCTGTGCATTTTCTATGCAATTCCTATGCATTTATTTTGTGCTTTTTATGCACTTTTCAGGCCTCCTCAACAGATTAAGGCCTTCTTACAAACAAATTTACGTAAATTTTGCGTTTAAGTAGAAATTTACATAAATTCATCGATTTTCTTAAATCTATGGATTTCTTAAATTTAAGAAATCTGCCGCCTTCGGGAAGTTTCAGCCGAGTAGCGAGACGGCCACCAAATGCTTTGGTGATGGAAAATGGAAAAGTGCATTGAGTGTCCGTACTACGAAAGTTCCTTCGACACTTCCTTTGATTAATGCCAGGTGTTAGGTTGATTCACCACGAATCCGCGGGGCCTTCACTCTCGAACATGGCATTGACATGGCATTTTCCCTTCAAAGTCGATGAGCAACATTGATGCTGATGGACCCGATGTGTCCTCTTCCCAAAAAAGGGGACTTCCTGTATACAGGGACATACATGGACTGATTGTAACTATGTGTTGCTCACATAAGCTACTCAATTTCGCACCTTACATGAACGAGACAAGCCTTTTTTGGGTTATACAGACCTGTCATGTTTTTTTGCTGTTTGGGGTCGAGGCTGGTGTAATTATTAATTCTAAACATAGTGTCAAACTAGTCCCAACATAATCCCGACTAATCCCAAAATAATCAGCCCAACATAGCGTGAAAATACGGGGTCCTTGTTTTGAGATGTGTTTGGTGTGTGTGTGTGTGTTTTGGGGAGGGGTGGCTCGGGGGGTATGAGTGCATGAAACCCGCACGTGGACAGTTGCAAGAAGGCACTGGCGCTCGACGAATCTAAGGTGAGGTTTGCCAAGGCATTTGTGCCGCCACTCACCGCCACCTGGCAGCCAGTGCTTACCCTGAAGGCAACTGAAGCTTTTGCTGTGTCCATCGGATGCAGGGCTCCCTCAAGGAGGCTGCCACTGCAAGCTTTATCATGCGCCCGAACAAGATTTGACGGGTGCTGGGGTCAGCCCAAGCGCATTGGCTCCTGCTTTGCCTCGTCTATTGAGCGCTCAGGCGCAGCAGGCTGAATATGCTCAGCGGGGCCTGGACGTGAACGGCGATGGCCGGGTGGTTCCTGCAGAAATGTATGCGCCATGGCTGAGAGTGATGTTAAGTTTCAGGGGCGGTGAATTCCGATGGGTCACCAGGTTACAGAGCGACGGGAGTTGACAATATTTGCCAATCACAATTTCTTTTCAAGGTCTTTGCTGGTTGTTTGGTGGCTTTTTGGGGCTTGCTTGAGCCAACCTTCCTGTGGATGCGCGCAAATTTCAGCTTTCACATACTCTCCCAAGCATGCGCCAGGTGTCAGGGGCATGGGTCACGACTCAGTCGTGCCTTTGGGCGCCAGGTTCATTTTTTTTGGGGGGGAGGGGGGAGGCTGGTTTTTGAGCCAAATGGGTCTCAGTGAGTTCAGTAGTTCATGCACTCTCAGGATACCTTGAGATTCGGCGACTTTTTCCCCACTGAGGAGCAGGCGGGTGACCGGGTGGGTTGCTCCATGTCGGAAGGAGCTGCCAAATTTCTCGATCCACAAGCCAAAGGTTTAACTTCTTATGTGTTTCTTGATCTTTGGAAGTTGAGGAGACCGCTTTTCCCTGAAATGCCGAATTCGAATGGCGAGTGGTTGTGAGCTGAGTTGCACTGGATGGCTTTTTGCAGATGCGCGCGTGGGCGCCTGCGAGACGCTTCATGCGTTTTGGTTTTGTCGTGACAACCCCAAAATGGCATCGCCTCTTGGCCTGTGATCGGTGACATGTTGCAACTAGCCATTGAAGGTGGAGGCATAGCGGCGCCCTTCATAAGAGTAAGATTGCGCATGAAGGGCACCTCAGCGGAAAGCCTGACAGGGAAGCAACAATTGTTTTCGGATGGAAGCGCTGTTCTGGCTTAGACCGGCCAGCTCTTATGCAGCATGCAAAACGAACACCGCGTGCAAGGGGTGAACACATTGCAGCTTGAGTGGTGCAATCGGGTGCCATGTTTCCAATGACCAGCATGCAAGAACCGCAACATGGGACATTCCTTTGCAGAAGGAGGAGGGGCACTATGAATCCAAGAGCTGCACCCAAGTGCCCAAATCTCCATGTGTCTAAATGCTCCACCTGCCACCGTGAAACATGGTCGGTGGTGCTTCAACCCGTCCAGGGCATAGGCTGGCGTAGCATGCAAGAAGGGTCACCCTACCTCGGCCCCAGGCGCGAAACGCGCGCGCGTGACGCGCGCCGCTGCTTCGGGGCGTTGCTTCTCAAGAGGGGAGGCGAAGACGCTGAGAAAGCTCGGGCGCCCCCTGCACATGGTGCACTGGTAAAAGGTCTAAAGAAACCATACAAATATTTTCAGATATCAATGCGGCAACAACTTGCGAGAGTATAGAAGCACTTTTACGTGCAAAAACTCTATTAATATGAGAAGTGTTGTGGGAAGAACTTGCCCGATGTCCCGGTTCTTTCAGCTTCTTCTGAGGGCTGCCACCAAAAGCTTCCCTATATAGATATCGGAATATTTGTGCTTGGCATTCATACAGAAGGCGCCTCCTGGTTAGAATGCTGGGGCCCTTCTGCGCGTATTAAGTTGAATTTGCCATTGTTCCAGTTAAGCTTGGCTGCTTCGTAGAGTCCGGAAGCGTGAAGCATGTTTTGACTTTCGGCAACGTCAACTCAATGCAGTATAGTCAGCGCCTCTCCATAGTACGAGGCCTTCTGAGTATTGCTGAGTATTGCTCCTTGTTTGTTGTTTCGGCTGCGCAAACCAGGGTGCGCAAGCATGCTACACGATGCAATAAGTGTAAGTTCTTGATCGTGCTTTTTTCTTCCCACACGCAGACACATGGTGCCGGTGTGGCCAAGTGCCGGCTGCTTGCTAGACTTTCAGTCAGCCAAGCGCGTGAATTGGTCAATCATCTTCGGTTATCAGTATGCAGCGGCAGAGTCCGTAGGAGCTGATTTTGTGGGACATTCCCTTCTTGGTGTCCAAAACGCACGGCCGATCAATCAGGGATAGAATCCACAAAGCGAATCAGTCTGAGCAACATGTTTTTCAAGGGCCTGCATTTGCATTGGCTGAGCCAACCCAGACGAAAAAAAGAAATCAATGGGTTCCGGGCACCCGCTCGAATGGTTTCACCGAATTCACGGTGCTCAGCAAGCTGCGAAAACAGCAGAGGCATCGTCAGACCAACCTGCATTCCAGACCTCCAGTGGTGGCCCCTTTGGAAAATTAGCTATTGGAACAGCGATGCTCTTTTGTTTTTCCATGGCCACTGGAGGTCTTGGGCATTCCGCAGGCGGCCCCGACAAGTATAAGGTAAAGCATGGTTCGATTGCATAGCCACTTGGGTGGCTGGCTGGTTGGCCGGTTGGCTCTTCCAGTTGGTCGGTCAGTTGGTGTGTGTGTGTGTGTCTCAGTTGTTCAAAGCCGACCTTTTCCCTTCTTGGTCTATTTTTAGTAGAGGTCCCAAAAGGTTAACCTTTTATTTGCAGGTCCTTTGGGCAAGTGAGGTGTCATTTGCCTGTGGCTTGGTCATTGGTCAACGCTTGCATGGGCCAAGCAATTGGTTCCCCAGTTCCCAGCATGGCTGGATCTGATGGGTCCTGTTCGTGGAAGGGTAGCTTGGGCTTATTAGGGCTGCCTTGCTACGTTGGGAAATGCTTTGATTCGATGGATGGAGAAGGTTGTCGTTTCATGAATGTTGGTCAAACAAAATGGGAGTTTAACATAGGCGGGTTGCTGCTTGAACTTGCGGTCGGGGCCGAGGACGGTTTTGCAGATGCCTTCCCCCCTCTCACGAAGTTGTGGAGTGGACGCGAGGGCCATGGATTGCGACTGAAACAGGGAGCGGTTTTCAGGCTCAACCAAGAAGCCGTGCCGAGTTTTCCTTCGCTTGCCAACTGGTGCGTTCCAACGTGAGCTAGGGTTTTGGGATGGGGAGACTTTGGCAGACTCCTTCAGGCCGTTTCATGGCATCTGGACCTGCGAGTGTGTGTTGTTGCTCCCGTTCTCATGTTGACCCCACATTAATAAACCTCAGTGGCCCCCTCCAAAAGTGATGATTCTCCACTAAACCCAGGGACACACCCCCTATGAATAAACTGGGGTTTAGGAACATGGGGTCAACATGAATTATGCTGCTGGCACATGAGGTATGGTCAAAATGACCAATTGATCATGATGAGTCGCGCGGCCCTTGTCCTTTGGCAGAGTCTATGCGTTCCCGATGTTACAGTATGCGCATGGAGCAGGCCATATCAACATACGGATAGCGCAAGAGCCGCACAATCTTCTGTCACTCCCTTCTGTGCGTGCGTGCTTTTCTTCAGAAAGACCAGAAGCACAACCGCAGTTGCAAAGAAGGGGACTGTTGAAACATAAGAACCCTGGCTGCAGAATCTTTTTTCGCCGCTTGTGGCGAGACACTTTCATGCCTGAGCTTTGCACCAACAACGCCCGCTGCCGTGACTTGCAGCCTGGTGTTCAGGCCACATGCCGACATTAGTCTGGCGCAAAGAATCAGGTTGATCCTGCATGCTGTTTCCATGCTTGTCTATCACAAGTCGAACGGCGCACATCTAAGCTGAAGCCAACCGTCCGCCCCCCCTCCCCCCACCGCCACCCTCAAAGCACCCGAGTCAGCCGCCCCCCCCAACACTTCCGCCTGGCATTGGTCTGGCGATCCGAAACCAAGCCGGTTTGCGCGCGTCAAGAAAACCATCAAGAAGGGAGTTTCGACAGGATAACATGGCGTTTGGATGCTGTTGGCGGGTAGTTTGCCAGGCTCCTCGTCTTGAACTTCCTGTGAGTCCCAAATCAAGGGGAGGCTTCAAAGCACCCAACATCTTGAGCACTTTCTGTGAGTCCAAGCTCAGAAAGAGGAGGCCTCCTAGAAGCAAGCGATTCCTGAAGACTTGCCCCGGCGCCATGGGAAATGTCTTGGGCCCCACGCAGGCGGGAAGGGGTTGATGGAGACTCCCAAGTTACCCTCCCCCCGAACGTCAGGTGCCATGTTAGTTGCTGGCGGTTGTTCGTTGGTTTTTGATTTCATCAAGTTCCAATTTTCAGGGTCCATTGCGGGTGCACATTCCGAAACGGAAGCTTTGCTTCTGTCTTTGATGTCGGAACGCCCTGGTTTCTTTCTTCCCGAAGGCCACTTGGGCCGCGGAGCCGGAGGGTGTCAGTTCCTAGCTGGACATACCCTCCCAAAAAGTGCAGAACCTGCAGAGATGTCCTTTTCAGAGGGCCGGTTCACTGTGGTTCCATGTTTTGTCTTTGGGATCGTATCTTGGGGCTCCGGATCTGGGTCTTTCGATTGTTCGCATCAGAAAACTCTCCGGGGAAGGGCTGGTGGCTTAAAAAGATAGGAAACGTGGCGCTCGGAACGGCCAAATCACCTGAACCATGGTTTGCGCTTGCCGCTAAATAAGCAGCCCCCCTTGTAGTGTAGAAACCCTTCAGGGGGGCTGTTCATTCCAGCAGAAAAGGCAAATTCTGACCTGAACCGAACGTGGCTGGGGTTACGCAGGTTTTGGTCTTTGTTTCTATCCAAGGGGCCCAGAAATGGGTACCACTTGTTTGAGCCACAGCCAAATGGGTTGCGGATGCACATTGGGGGTCCCTATTAGACTGCCACAAGGATTGCCACGATTTTTTTGCAAGTTTGCTCCAAAGACCCCAAGTTAGAAGTTCGGTTTATTTTGAGCCACACTCATTTCCCTGTAAAGCTCTTGTCTTAAGATAAGCCCCGCAGCGCTTCCCTAGAATGGGCAAGTTGGGTACGTCCTTGATTCCAAAATTTGGCACGCGCCTGGATCGATCCCTGGGACGGCGTGTTGGAAACCCGGTCTTGTCATGGCAACCGACTAGTTGAACAGGGCATCAGCACCACAAACTTGCGTTCAAACATAGTTCAGGAGTTTCTGGGAGTGTGTGACTCGGGCAGGAGGTGTCAAGCGCTCCACGACAGTATCATGCGGTTGGGAGTGGCGTGTTGCGACATAGCTTGGTTCCTATTTTTCCAAAGGGTATTGTAGTCATGTTGACCCTTTTGAGAAGATCGGGATTTTTAGTTGGGAAAGCTGCAGGGCAAACGGCACACACGGCAAACGGCTCTCAGTTTTGAGAGGCCGGGGTTGGCCTGGACTCGGATCTTCTGGAGTCAGGCCCGGGGGGGGCGATCGATCGAGTTTTGAGGGCGGCCTTTGAATCGGGAACACCACAGACCTCAATGTCTTCTTGGGCTTCAGGTGTTGGTGACTTCCACGTTTGCCGCGAGGGGGTGGGGGGGAGGAGGTCTTGAAGCAAAGAAGAGGTAGAAGGTGGCAAGTTTGACCAGTTTGACCTAAGGTGTTAAAAGGGCCCAGCCGGCCATGCGATGGCCCGGCCTTATGACTTGATAGTGAATGAGAAATGGAGGCTGAACCCGAAACCATCTCCACCAGAAATCAAAGCAATTAATCGTGCTTGGCAAAGGAGCTGACAATACCGGTCAGCTTACTTTCGAAGACAAGGTATCGCCGAGATATGCTTCCTTGCAGTTCTAAGAATGTCATGGTTTGCCTTGCTCGAAAGCCTTCAATGCGTTGCGGAAACTCCCCCCTGCAATTCCTCAAGCCGAGTCTGTTCAATGCTTACCTTCCCAAATCGGCCTATGTTCCGCCTGGCATCGCCGTGTAAGCTTGTAAGCCCAGTTGCAAGCCAATTTTGGAGGTGGCTTGCTCAGCGCCAGATGCGCTTGGGAAAACCATCCATTTCTTTCTTTGAGGAGTTTCACTTGTGGTCTTCCATTCACTGTACGCGCGCGCGCGCGTTGTCGCAGCATGTGCTCTTGTTCAGAAGTGGTACCGTTGATGTCATGTCTATTTGGAACGGGCTCGAGATATGGTGATGTTGCTACGTCTATGCCGGAGGCAGGCGCCAGGTGTTGAACCAGCGCGAACTCCAAGTTCCAAGCTCCATGTGCCTTGTTGATACCTATGGCCTTGCCAGAGTTCAGGTATGAAATACGTACTGCGCGGCAAAATCAGGTGAAATGCTTGGAGAGTACACCTTTTTCGGGAGCCTCCCTCATAGGTCTCTGAAAAGACTGAAAAAACTCTGAAAAAGGTGAAGCAAACAACCTCTCTCTGAAAAACTGCAGCTGCTTGTTCAACGAGAGGCTCCAGAATCGATTCGCTTTGCATTTCTCCCCAGTTGGCTCGGCGGTCCAAAGCCGAATGGTTTGTATCCGACGTGGGCGACTCACCATTGTTGCAAAACACGGGGGGAAGCCTTGTCTTTGAACGTGTGTTTCGAATCCAATCAATCGATCAATCAATCAATCGATCAATCAATCAATCGATCAATCAACCCACCAACCAATGAACTCACCAATCAACCCACCAACCAATGAACCCTCCAATCAGTCAGTCAACCAACCCAACATGGAAGTGGAGTCAGCGAGTTGCCACCAGGCCTTCGGCCTGGAAGCGCCTGTGTGGCGCGCCTGGCGCGGCCCGCGGAGTCCGCGGAGTCCGCGGAGTCCGATGGATGGGAGCCCTCCGGCAGAGGGCGGATTGGGAGCGGGCGACCGGACATGTTTTTCGGGGGGGGATCCCGAAACTATGGGCTGGGGGGATCCAGAAGTGGTGGGGGCTCCGGAAACTTAAGATTGAATGGGGTGGGGGCTCCTGTTTCAAGTAAGGGTAGGGGATCCAGAACTACGGCGGGAAACTTGGAGACCCTTTGGTCCCTCTGGTCGGGCTGCTAGATTGCTGCTGCTAGGAGCATTCTCAAACGTTGGCATGAGATTTGGTAGTGGAGCCCGTGGGGCCGTGAGCCTGTGGGCTCGTGCAGCCTATGGAGCACGTAGGCCGTGAGCATGCCACTGTGGCCGTCACGCAGGTTTGTGTTGCTTTGGTTCTTGGTGGTTCGATTGCTCGCTTTGCTTGTTTGAGCGCTTGCTGGTACTAGTAGGTTCACCTCTGGTTTGATTCAGAACGCATGTTTGTTTTGAACCTTGAATGATTGATTTGATTGATTTATTGAATGATTGATTGAGGGATGGATGGATGGACGGACGGACGGATGGATGGATGGATGGATGGATTGAATGATTGGTTGATTGATTGACTGATTGATGGATCGATTGATTGATTGGTTCATTGATTGATTGATTGATTGATTGATTGATTGATTGATTGATTGATTGATTTGATTGATTGATTGATTGATTGATTGGATTGGATTGGATTGGATTGGATTGGATTGGATTGGATTGGATTGGATTGGATGGATGGATTGATTGATTGATTGATTGATTGATTGATTGATTGATTGATTGATTGATACATGTGTTTGGTTTTTTTGTTTATTTGTTTCTTTATGTTTTGTCTTTCTTTCTTGGCTTGCTTGCTTGCTTGCTTGCTTGCTTGCTTGCTTGCTTGCTTGCTTGCTTGCTTGCTTGCTTGCTTGCTTGCTTGCTTGCTTGCTTGCTTGCTTGCTTGCTTGCTTGCTTGCTTGCTTGCTTGCTTGCTTGCTTGCTTGCTTGCGTGAGGTTTGTTGTTTGTTTCTTGTTTTGGTAGTGTGTTGATTTGTTTTGATTTGGCTTGTTTTGTTGTGTTGTCGTGTTGTTTGTTTTATTGTGTGTTGTCTTGTTTTTCTTCGCTTGGTTTGTCGTGTTTTGTTTGTTTTGTTTCGTCTTGCTCGTTTTTATGTTTTTTTGGTTTTGTCTGCTCTTGTCGGGTGTGGTATTGTTTGATTTGGTTTGTTTTGCTTTGCTTGTTTTCTTAGTTTTAGTTAGTTAGTTAGTTAGCTAGTTAGCTAGTTAGCTAGTTAGTTACTTAGTCAGTTCCTTGGTTAGTTGGTTAGTTGCTGAGTTGGCGAGTGAGTTTTCTTCTTGCTTGCTTGTTTGCTCGCTCGTTTGTGTGTGTGTACGTTTGTTTGTCTGCTTGCTTGCTTGTTTCGTCTGGTTCCCCGCCGGTGCCGGTCCGTGGGCCCCGGTGCAGTGGTCCGTGGCAGTGGCACGGGGTTTTCTTTCTCTGATCATGAGCCTTAGGCTTTCAGTGAAATTGATCAACTCGCTTCCTGAGTTCATGAACGTCCAACTTTTTTGGAAGACTATGGACCATGCTAGTGGTACATATAAAAAGTTTGGACTTTTTTTGGGCCATCCACTCAGCCAGTGCCATTCCTTTGTGCTTGCCTGGTGCTTTGTCGCCTTTGAACTCTTCAGCCCATTCAAGAGCACATCGGAACAACCGAACCTTATCCCTTCCCCAGAATTAGCTCCCCTTTTTGCTTTTTTGCTTTTTTGGGGTTCCCTTTGTTTTCCACTAACCAGGCAAAAAGATATATATATATATATATTTGCTGGGGTCCTGATTCCAGCCAAGATCCCACCCACAAATGCTTGAGTTGAGGTATATCTACGGCACCGTCACCTCGCTGCAGCCTCCTTGTATCCATGGCTGCGACGGGGCTGACTACACAGCAGACGCGCCCTGGCTTATGTTGTGATTGGCGTGGCTGATGCCGCACAGCGGGATGCTCGAGGGTTCTCTACCTTTCGCTTTTCCTGGCTTTGGAATGTGCAACATCTCATCAACAATTGCCTGAAATAGACTGGCCTCCACGCAACCAACAAGCAAATCGAAGCAATCGACCAAGGACAGATTTGTTACATGCCTTTAGGCCCACTTTTGGGCTTCGTTTCTGCTGCATCTGAGCATGTGCTGGTAAAAACCACTGCTAGACCAACCCACATATTGCTTGGCCAGGCCATGGCCTAGCATGCAGGCAATCCTGTACTGTTTACGCCAAATTTTCCATACATGTCATGGTTTTATGCAAGGCCCTGGCGAAATTGAAAATTTAGAGTCCAACATGTCAGCGGAATTCTCAGCACGGTTAAATCCTAATGTGTCCGTTTGTGTGGTGCTGCTTTGTAGGCGTATTGCATGCATGCTCTTAACAACTTGTCTTGGAGCCGCTCAACTGGTGACGCCCCAAGTCAAATCAAGTTCACAAAGAGCATACCCTCAGGTACTCAAGGACTAGAATGGGTAACCCCTGGGGGCTTAAAGGCTAAGGGCCGAGAATCAAAGAGGCAAAGTCCCGCTTCCTACTCGCCAAGGCTTTGAGGTGGGTTGCTGCTGCTAGAGACGACGGCTGGCTGGAGCCATATGGGAAGGAGCACGCCCGCGAGTTGCAAACACGGTCACAAACAGCTTCGGCACGTGCGTGCTTTGGGGTCGTTTTGGGGTCGTTTTGGGAGCAACATGGGGGGGATGGAAGAGCTGGTATGCAGGATATGCAGGTGCTCTTCACATAGTTTTGTAAACACATAGCATTTGTTAGGCTTTGTGCGCGTGCGTGCGGCAACGTTTGATTGCTATGTTTTCCAGAAAGTGCTGCAGATTTGAACACTTTATTGTATCTTATTGTGGTTGCTTCAAGCGATGCCTAGCTTCCACTCATCGGCACGCTGGGCCCAATTTTTGCTGGGTCATGTCATGGGCTGGAGATGTGTTGGGGCCGCAGTCCCCGAGCTCGTCAAACTATGTCAAACTCATCATGCTGCAGTTGAGCGCTCACAGAAGCTAATTCAGGTGTTTAGCTCCCTTTGCAAATGACGCGGGCATGTTTGCTTTCGGTAGGTTACCTGACCTTGCGCAAATGTTTCGCCTGCCACGAAATCTGCACCAGACCTGGCGAAAGTGCTGCGCCTGCCACGACATCTGTACCTTTGGTTGCCGAAGAGGCGGCCCTGTCACGCAAGCTGATGTCGCGGAAAAGCACGCGCGTCTGTGCAGGTAGGCCCGGGTGCAAGACCGTTCCGAGACCGTTCCAAGAGGCGTCATGACCTGAGCCCGGAGACGCCAAAACGCGCAGAGGGGTGCATGTTTTCTCGCACGCGTTCATTTTTTCTTCTGTTTATCCTTGCGAAGGCGTACCTTCAATTAGTGTCCGCAACACGGAAGTTGCTTCTAAAACGTCCTATTACCAGGCGGCTCAACGGTCTGCCACAGAGGCATGTCTGTTTCTTTGGCATGCATCCAAGCATGGATGATCATCCTGATTTGTTCAAAGGGTTGCCACTTGCTTTGATTTCCCGTAGACAACATATGAGTGTGGCTCAAAATTAAAGAGGAGGGGTTACGCAGGTTGTGGTCCATGTTTCCACTTACCAGGGTTCCATGTTGGTACCGGTTTTTGAGCCACGGCCATATTTGTCATGCCCACAATTGTCTTGTCTGCAGATCCACGTGGCTAAAGCACATTCGCGAAGCATTGCAGGAGTGGCGGGAGCCCGGCAGAGCCATTTTTCTGAGGCGGGGCGTGCAGAATCGCTTGGCAAAGCGATATGTTTGCCTGATTTGACGAGCTTAACTAGATCCCCCAGTAGTGCCCTTTTTCCCTTTTTTGGGGGAGGGTCCCCCTACTAAAATAGACTACAGAAAAAAGGGTGCCCTTATTCGAACCTCTCTACTGGAGGACCTAGTTAAATACTGGACACAGAAATGGGTTCACTCATGATTGATTAATCATCGCATGGGTCTAATCTCATACGCTGTTTCTGGAATTAAGATGTATGTAGTGGCAGTATGATTTGTGTTTGATTTGTACCTGGCGATGCTCAGGTGACGGAGCTGCAAGGTGTTGGAGATGGATCATGTAGTATCATCCGGCATGCATCTGGTTTTTTGCAAGCAACACAATCAACCCACCGATTCGCTCTTCGAGCAAAACGATGGCCATGTTTGCTACTCCCGGACAACGACGCTTCGAGCTTTAAAAGCAGTTTAACAAGCTGAAGACAGAACATCGATCCAGACTCCTGTTGCAGCTGGGAATGCACCAACTCCCAAAAGACCCCAATAGGAGTTGATAGGCTTTGAGGGAAGTCAGGTCAAACAAGAGCTTTCTTTTCTTTGTTTTTCTTTGGGCGGGGTGGGGGGGGGGTCCCTAAGATTCCAGGCTGGCGGCAAAGCGCTCGCGCCGCGCCTTTCAGGCTGCTGCGGGACGAGTGGGTGACGGCCTTCGTGGGACTCACTGGGCCTGACATGCCCTTCAGCTACCTGCCACTCGAGGGCGTGGATGGCCTGCCCGGCGTTGATGTGCTCAAAGAGGCGCGGACCTGCAAACATGGAACTGCACAGACCACCAACCCCTGCAATCCTCTGAAGGAAATGTGAATTTGAGAGGAACCAAAAACGATATCCTTGGGTGATCTTTTTGGTTTGACCTGACAAAAACATGTGGGTCCCTCCAAATTGTCCCGTGCGCTCTTGGGGGAAAGCATGAAAAAGCATGGCTGTGGGTCAAAAATGGCACCCAAAATGGCACCAAATGGAAACAATGGCTTAAACCCTGTCATCCCCTGGTGGTTTAATTTTGACCCATACCCGCATATGTTTCCGTGGCGCACCCGCGCGGCGTCAGGTGGGCATGCTCTTCACGCCCCACGAGGAGTGCAGAGAAGAGTTTCAGCACCTGGAGCCGGGCCGCGGCGGGTTTTTGGCCGACCACCTCAGCCAGGCCTTCGTGCTGGGAAGTTGGGCCCTCAGCATAACCTGCGTCCATCCGGATGCGGCTTGCTGGTGTCCCACGATTTACGGAGGACTTGAGGTCCTCTTGTTTTTGAACGCCCGGTTTTGATGAATCTGGTGACATTTGGGGACTTGGCGCCACTTGAAATCGGATCAGGGTTTCAGGGTTTTTGCAGTCAGGGTGTCAAAGTTTAGGGGTTTACTTTCCGCAGGGGGTGCCAGTTGGGCTACCGGGGAGCTGAGCCTTGCAAAGTCCCAAAACGGCTTAGCCCTGCGCAGTAGTTTGCCCTCGCGCGTTGCTGATCGCGACGAATTGGCCGTATGTTTTGGTGGTGAGCGAGACTAGGTCCCCCAGTAGTGCCCTTTCTCACCCCTTTTTCTGAGGGAGGGTTCCCCTACTAAAATAGACTGCAGAAAAAAGGGTACCCTTATTCTAACCTCTCCACTCAAGGACCTAGGAGATCATGACAGTTCCTCACATTGCCGTCAAAACATGGGGCTATGACAATTCACCAAGGGTTATGACGAACCACCTGGGGGTAAAGCGAGCTCGCATCATCATGACCGTCGCTTGTGGTTTGTAAGTTATAGCCATTTGCCAAAGTCTAAGGCATCGAGCACATACCCCAAAGGTACATAACCACTATGGCCACCTTTTTTGGGCCATGTGATTTCGGGGTATGCGCATAAGTTTTTCGACAGCGAATCACATTGGCCCTGGCGTTCAAACCATTAAAACAATGGTTGGGTTCATAACAGCCGCCATGGTTTGCCTAAGGATTGTCATCCAAATTGGGCCCCAGGGCCATTCTTTTTGGGGGCAAGAGACTGGGGAGAGGTGGTTGACCTCCATTTCCCGTATACCTCCAAAAGTGGGGCACCACTTCCGACGTCGGAACTCTAGAGCTTTCATTGGGGGCAAGGAACCCTCTCGACGGGAAGACGGGAAGGCGCCCGGGGAGCCCTCAGGCAAGTCCCAGCAGCGCCTGCGCTGGGTGAAGAAGTGCCGGAGCGAGCCACAGCAGCTCGGGACAGAAGCGCTGTGATGTGGCAAGGCTCTAGGGGTAACTTCCCTTGACTGCTATTGGGTTGGATCTTTAGACTTTAACTTGTTGGAAAATAAATGTGTTTTCCACTAAACCCCCCAAAAAGTTAGACTTTTTGCAGGGGGTCAACAGCCACCAAGCTCCCCATTCTTTGCCAGGGATCCGAGTCTTTCGAGAAAAGCTCCTTTGAAAAATCCGGGGAGAACGGATCCGGTTCTTGAAAAGAACGGATGGTTGAAAATAATGGACCAGGAATCAACCCCCTAGAAAGGCTGTGGCTATGAGTTTCGAGGGACTTGGTGGACATCTTCCAGTTCGGGGAGTCATGTCCACCAGCCACTTTTTAGGTGGCTCCCGAATGAAATTCATAGCCGTGTGTCTTTTTCTGAGTTTTTTTTTTGGGGGGGGGGGGGTTTGCAAGCAGAGCAACAAAGGAAGCCACCAGTTGCAGGCCCCCCTAAAGGAGACACCCGTAATATGAAGCCCGGATTCTCAGGCTTGCGGATTTTTTTCGAAGGATTCCCCAACATGGGACGCCTTCACGTTTGTTTGCTCTGGTGTTTGAAGGCAGGTTTCATCCCCACCCCCCACTTTTATGCTTTAGTTCCTTCCGCACTTCCACTTTCATCCCCAACCCCACTGCATGCGTTGGTCCCGCATGCTTCGCATGCCAAAGTTCTTGCTGCATGCGAAGGTGGTGGTTTTGGAGGTGTCCTGCTGGTGTTTCGCGGGTCAGTTGTGTTTTTGGTGGCTTGTCCAAGTGTTGTTGCGGTTGTGTGTCTTTTGATAATGTTTTGGTTGTGGTTTTGGTGTTGCGGTGTCCCGGTTGTGTTTGTGGTAGTGTTCTGTTGGTGTCCCGGGGGTGTGTTGCTTGTGTTTGTGGTGGTGTTTTCATGCCGCTTTGGCGGTGTGTCCCGCTTGGTGTTTTGGCGGTGTCCCGGTGATGTCCCAGTTCCCTGATGGTTGTGGGGTGTTCCGGTGATGTTCCGCCTGTGCTTTTGATGGTGTCCAGGTGGGGCTTGAGTGGTGGCAGGGTGCTCCGCTGGTGTGCCGGTGGTGTTTTTGGTGATGTCCTGTGGCCTTTTTGGTGGTGTCCGAAGGAATGAGAGATCTTCCGCTGAATTATTTTCTTGCCGCTCTTAAGTTTCATCCCCAACGTAACGCGCTTTACTCCCTTGTACAGTTCATCTCTAACCTTCTGCCAGCATGTTGGCTCAATGCAGGGCACATCCTTGCGAGCTATGCATGTTCTTGGGGTTTGCGCCACATTGCAGCTTGAGGGTCTCGAATGGATCGTCTTGTGTCTTCTAATTCTTACGATACGGCCTCCAAGGGTATTGATCAAAACTTGGAAGTTTGCATTTTGTGAAGCTGCTGTTGGATGCCCGCGTCAGCCCGATGGACGGTCCATTGGCTTCCATTTCTTCCGTAGCTTTCACACCAATCGTTTGGCTCACTGTGAGGGGACCTCTCGCGACTGTGTGGTTTTTGGTTTCGCGCCACATTTCAGGTTCGGCGGTTCCAAGTTCGGCTTTCACAAAATTGGACATTGCGCCGTGTTTCCTCTGTTGTCTTTGGTGGATTTTGCCAAGGGATGTTAGGACTTTAACTTTTAAAGTTAAGCTTCTAGCAGGGCTTCGCAGATTTCGCAGCCCCTTGACATGCTCTCAAGCTTCAGCCCCCAGCACCAGCGCTTTACTTTCATACTTCCCGCCAACTAGTTGGCTCAATAATTGCAAGGCGGGAAAGTCTTGCAACATGTGTCTTTGTTGTGGGTTTCGCGCCACGTGTTAGCTTTAGGGTCTTAGCCATTTTAGTTGGTTCTCACATTCTCCAGATTATGCAAACTTCCTCCGTGGCATTGTCCATGTTAAGTTTTAATTCAGTTTGCACCTCTCATGCTCCCTGCCAGCTTTGTGGCTGAATGCAAGGGGCAACTCGTTGTTGCGTTGTGGGTTCGAACTGCATATTAGTTTTACGGTCTTGTGAGCGATTTGTGGTGGTTTCCACATTCTTGAGATGATAGATGTTGCTTCTAGTTTATTGTTTTTTTCAAACATTTGAACATTTGCATTCTTTGCTGTGTTTTCGTTGGATGAACCTTAACATGTTCAAGTTTCATTTTCGGCCTCAAGCGCTTTGCTCCCTTGTACTCAAAAGAAGGGGAACACTCGCCATTTGTTATTTCTCGCTTTCGCACCGCATTTCAGTTCTTCGGGTCTCGCAGGGAGAAGAGTTAAAAACTACTTTAAGCTGAGCCATGGCCTTCGAACATTTGTTGCTGACAGCGCTGCAATGCCACAGGACAATTATCTAAAGTGAGACATCCATGCAGCAAGCCTCGACTCGATGAGTATCAGTCGATTGCGGCACTCGAGGTCCGGTATTGTAAGTTGACCCAAGACTTGAGAAGAAGGACACACCAAAATGTAGGAGGTTTTAGCTCGGCATGGGCAGGTTTGAGTGTAAAGCAAAAGGAGCCAACAGGGTTAAATGTAAGGTGCAAGTGGAATAGAAGCAGGGTGGGGTTGGGGAGAAAACTTGAAGATGTCAAGGTTGAATGAAAAAACAACTATATTTTAACGGTCATGTATATTTTAGAGGGAAAAGTCCATCTCGATAACTTGGAAGTCAGCACGACTTTTCGGACAATTCGGAAAGCTTTGGCCCAAGGTATCCCATGCGGTGCGTCTTCGTGCATCCCCGCGTGAAGTGTCGAGGTCTGGCGGAGTTTGTCAGGAGCCAACGGGGCGAGGATCTTGCTCTAAGTTCAGCCCAAAGGCCAACTGCCCGCTTCAAGCATTTTAAGTTTCCCCGTCAGGGCAGAAGTTGGATTCAAACTGCAGCCTTCGCAATTGTTTGAATTTGCCTGCCATGTATGATGCACCTGGCAACAGTGTGTAAAGTGATTTTGCTTTTGCTTTCTTTTTTGCCCCCTCCAGACTGAGTGCCACACCGACAAACTCAGGATGCATGCAAGATTTTGTCGGATTCATTTGTTGAGAAAGTGCACGGGGTTTGAATATGTGCCTCATGCGCTGATGCACTTTTAGGCAAACATAAAGCTCCACCGTGTGTGTGTATGCACAAACAGTTCCCCACTTCAACCACGACCACATGTGTTATTTTTGGATACATTGTGTTCCGCGGTGTGGCTTCCTTTGGGCGGATGGTTGCGATTTCGCCTTACCTGGGGAAGCTCCAGGCATATCGGCCGCGCGCTTGTCGCTCGTAGCTCTGGGCCAACTCCCAGCCCCCCGGGCCCGAGGAAGCAGAGGCGTTCCGAGAAGGGAAACGAGCAGCAGCTCCATTGGGCTCGTGTGCCCGCTCGGACGGATATGTTCGCCTAAAGTCTTTCACCGCCTTTGGGTGAAAGAGAAGTGACATGCCACATCCCGCATAAAATGACATGCAGCCGTTGACATTGGAATGCTTGATTCCCTACGACGCGTCCGAGAGCAGCAGTGTTCTGCAAACCACCGCTGAGTCGAAATGAGCAACAAAGCGTGACAAAAGTGCTTAGTGTGAGTCTCGTAAACAGGGAGGATACTCAAGAAAGGCGGCATTGCCATTTGTTGCGTGAGTTTGTTCATGCACATTGCACTGCCCGAGCAGCTGTTGGCCTGCCACCCGACAAGAACGGTTTGCATGTCTTGCACTCATGCTGCATGCTTCCTGAATTCATCCCCTTGCTGTACAGCGGAATGTGTGGGTTGTGGTTGACCGAGCTGCTTGGGCTCCTCTTTTTGCTTGCAAACCCAAGTGCTGGTTTCGCTTCGGGCCCTGAGGCTTTTGGTTTGTAGGCCAAATGCTTGGGGTTGGGCGGTTGGGCCTGCCCACTGGTACTTTCGAGTTCTCAATTTGGCGCAGTGTATTTCGGGTCGATCGTTGACGTGGTGAGAGACACCTGTGGCGGCAGGCGCAGGCACCCAAAAGGTTGAACATGAACAACTTGCGTCCAGAGGTGCCGGCTTTTATGGTTGAACATCGATGGCCCTGGTTTTGTTTGGTTGTAACTCACCTGCCCAAAGCCGACCTTTTGAACTTTTGGCATCCTTGATTCGGTCCTGGATTTCCAGGTCCTTTGAAACGAGGAAATCCTTGAGCAGCGCCACCGCCGTTTTTTTTGTCGGGGGATTTTTGTCGCAGCCTTGAGGAAGCCACCGGAGACCAAGACTTCGGTGGCTTCCTCTCAGCTTCAAATCAGAATCCGAGAATCCGCAGCTGAAGTTCCAAGTTTTCTTTGCATTTTGCCAAGGGGTGTTGGGACGAAGAGCAACTTTTTGGACCCAACTCATGGGGGTTTTCCGTATCAAACCCGCTAAAGAAGTTGGTCGCTTTTGGCCGGGCTTCGCAGATTTCGCCGGCGAGTTTTGAGGCGCCAAGACGGAAATCTTTCCGGCGCCTTCCTTTCAGATCGTCGACCGAGGGGCGGAAGTTTTTGGGATCGATCCGCAGGAGGTGCCACGTGAAGAGAGCGGAGTGTCCGCAGGACGTTTCGGGAAGAGAGAGGGAACAAGAAGGACAGGAAAGAAAGCAAGAGAGAAAGAAAGCAAGAAAGCAAGAAAGCAAGAAAATATAGAAAAGATAGAAACGATTGAAGAAAGATAGAACGAGAGAGAGAGAGAGGAGAGCGGGAGAGAGGGAGGGATGCGGATGAGGGAGATGAAATAAGATGACCCACGAAACACATAGCGTGTCTTGTTCAGAAGTATGGGCGCAGGGTGGGGATTTAACAACCAGGCAACGTAGCCACTAAACATTGCTGGACTTGTCAGGAATATGTTTTCTCATTGCCCAAGTTGGCAGAGCCAAAGTTGGCTCAAGCAAAACCGACTGCCACACATCCCGGGCGAATCTCACAAAGCTAGCTCTAGACGCTATCAACCAGTGTATCGCTACTGTCTACACATCATGGGAAACAGATCATCGGCAAATGGCTGTTGTTCACTCGGTCCCCCAGTAGTGCCCTTTTACCAACTTTTTGGGGGAGGGTTCCCCTACTAAAATAGACTACGGACAAAAGGGTACCCTTATTCTAACCTCTCTACTGCAGGACCTAGTTCATGTTCACGTTGCTGTGCACTTTGGCCGGCCCACCAGAGGACCGCTTGCAATAGATCAACATGGACAATGCTCATTTGCCACCTTGAGCATGGCCCCTTCCATGCTCAAGTGAAACTGCAAATGAATTTGGGGTGCCGTCCCCAGAATCTTTCAAATTGCTTATCCTCACTGCATTTGTCATCGCATTCCTGCATCGCACTTTTGTTTGTCTCCCCAGTCTTTGCTTTCCGCGTTCCCACCACAATTGTCTCGTGGCAATTTTCTGGATCCCTTTTTCCTGGTTCCCCACAAGCAAGGAATCGACCCTGCAAAAGTCAACGAACGGACGCAGGATTAAGGCTTACCCCAGACCTGCTCTGGTACCTATCATGGAACCCAGCAGAGGCTCCAATTTCAGGCAGCCTTCGCCTGTCGTTCGCTTGCTGTTTCGACCGGCCTCATGACTTTACCATGATCAAATGATCAAAGTCACCCCCCTTCAGTGGTGGGTTAAAGGGAAACTAGGCGTCCCATGCAAAACCTGAATATACATACCGCGTGAACCATGGTTGCCTTGATCATGGCTGACCAAACCACCGAATCCATTTGCTGACTATGATCACCCCCAGTCAAACCGATGTCCCCAGTTCGATGGCGGTTTAGAAAGAAGGATCCCAAGAATGGAGAAGCTACCGCTCGCTCGGCGCGCTCCAATTTCCGGGCGCCTTCGCTCGCTCCAATTTCATGGCAGGAGATCGCCGCGGAGGCGGTGGTGCTGCTGGGCCCCCCGGCGGCTGGCAAGAGCTCCATCCAGCGCTTGGACGCGCAGCAGCTGCCGCAGGAGCTGCGGCACACGGCCGCTTGGTGGACCAAAGTGGGCTTGCAGGGCTGGAAATGGAAGCCACCGTCACTTTGCATTTTGCCGAGGCATGTTAGGACTTCAACTTTTCCAACTAATGGGGTTTCCCATTAAAACCACAAACAGTTAGTCACTTTTAGCAGGGCTTCGCAGATTTCGCAACCGAGTTCCAGTGATACAAAACAGGGCTGACAGCCCCAAATTGACTAACCACCCAGGGGATTCCCGAAGATCTCCTTGGCTCAGCTTGAGCAAGACTCATCTCGCAGCTTTTTGGGCTAACTGATGCACCCTTGGTTGATATGGGTATGGCTCAAAATTAAACAGGAGGGGCAAACCGCAGGTTTTGGTCCATGTGGCCACTTACCAGGGTTCCATTTTGGTACCGGTTTTTTGACCCACAGCCATATTGATTTCCCCTTCCATCTCAACACCTGCGAAACCTTTCTCCCCGATCGATAGACAAAACACATGCCCGGCGAGCCGGGTTCTCCGCTTGAGGAAGTCAAGGTTCCAAAACATGAGGCTTTTGAATCTAGATCGCTTGGACAAGTGAGTGGTGGTTTGGACCGGTTTGGGAGGTTTGACATCCTAGTTCTTGTAGAGGGTAAATGGGAAATAATCGCCTAACCTCAAGACTACCAAACCAAATCACCACTTGGAGGGGAGCTGAGAGCTTTGGTGGAAAGCCATATGCGTTTCATAGGCTTTCAAAACTGGATGCTTCACTGACATTGCCAGCGGAAGGGCTTTTGCTTGAACAGATTCGCCCTTGCTCACGATGGGCGGCACGCGCAGCATTGCTTTTGAAGGGAGCCCATGCAACCAGCTGGCAAGGTTGAGTCACTGAAGTATCGGGAGGAGGTGAACAACGACAACCTCACCGCACCTCAGATGGAAATACAAGACTTAAACCGTTCCAGCTGGTCTCAGATGGACTTGCCTTTGAATGAAGTTGGCTTGAAAGCTTGACGCTTAGAATCCAAGCAAGCACTTGTTGGTTAGTTCGGCAAAAGTCCGATATCCCATGACCAGAGCAGGCGTTGCCGTGTCAAGCACCAAAATTCGACCCCTGCATCCCGGCAGAATACGATGGGAACTGGACTGATACGTGCATGAAAAGTAACAAGTAAGGGGCAAGATCACAAGGCCGGTTCGCTTAGGCAGATGGAAGCAGCAACTGCGAAGTCCACATGTTTTTTTTTGCTTTAATGGGAAGCCAAGGACTTTCTTTTTTGTTTGGAGGGGGGGTCCGCTCAAAAATGCGACAACCATACACACCCACATGTGCCGAGAGATGGCAACAAACATCAGCGCATCCACAACAACACGCTCAAGTTGACACCCTCCAGAACTTCGGGTTGGTTCCAGGCTAGATGGGGCATGGTATTTTCATACGTATGGCTATGCTTGTGCAACTGCGCTCCTGCAATTTACTCCGATCAGAGGTGACACGGTGATATGTGTTGGTCCAACATTCAGGACATGTCGTGGATCCACATTCAAAGTGTACATCAGGGGGATCTCCCAACGTTTGAGTGCAAAGCAGTCGCACCTGAGTCCGCTAAGGTAGAAAGAGGCGTTGCCAGGATTCTAGGCAACGAACAGGAGGACCTACCTATTTGAATTGTATCAAAGTCCCGTTCCCCAGGCTATCTTCAGGAGCATTTCGGAATGTCACGTTTCACCTCACTGCTCTTCGCACCTTCTAGCTAACGTTGCCTGCCATGTAGGCCAAAACAAAACCAGTTGCCCAGTGGATTCCGCCCTTTTTACCTTTTTCTTTGTCAAGAACAAATCCAATTCCTTTAAACTCAACCAACCAAAAAAACATGCCCCTTTTTTCCATGAAAATCCACTGGCCATCTGAAAAAAACAGCCCACCGCCCGTTTGCGAGGACTGCATGCCCGGCTTTGAGAAGGAGTTCCGGGTCGCCCTGCAGATGCCCAAGGAGAGTCAAGCCGGCGGCGCTCACTGGCGCAAGATGCGGCTCGGCTTCCACGTGCGATTCAGAGCTTCGGGGACCGTCGGGGACGTGTGGCGGCTGCGTGGGTTTTTACCGCATGAAGGTCTGAACATAGAAGATAACTGGAAGAGGTTTATTGCTCCAGACCTTCAGTGCCCTTGCTTCCTTGTAAACATGTAGTTTGCGTTGAAAGATGTTTTTTCTTTATTTTTATGGGTGAGCCAAGTACCAGACAAAAAATAGTTTTTCCCCACTGTAGCTGGATTGATTTGTGGGCCATTCTTCGCAGTGTTTCTGCCATCCTCCGTGTGGTCCAAATTGGATGGGCGCGCCAAAGCAAGATGAGATTTCATGTTGGGCGCAACTGCAGCAGCTTGCCGCTGCCTCCGAGAGCGGCCGTGCAGTGGCAGACCTCAAGTCTGACGCGATATTCTCGCATGTTGACGTTGTGTGTCCATCATGCGTCGCGTGGCTTCATCCAGAAGCATCTTTCCAATCCATGATTTTCTTCATAAACCGAGAAAGTTGAAAGGACGTTCGTCCGGAAATCCCGGGGCCCAGTCACAAATGGAGAACCAACAAGGAAGACTTCGGTCCCGAAATGCGATGAATCAAGTTCCGGCCAGCGGCTCTGCTTCCATGAATGCTTTGAAGGCCTTGCAGGTGCTGAGCCAGCAAATCGCCTGGGCCCAGGGGTCATGAGCGACCAGCGGGTCGACACTTCCAGAATCAATCAAAGTCATGGCGGGACTGGAACCTGCAAGGATGGCACCCTGGGGTTTTTCCCGTCTGCTTTGCACCTTCCGAATCAACACCGATTGACCGTTGAACGTCATGAATTGGGAACTGGGGTCCTTAGTAGCCGCAATCAGCCAGGTGCGAGGTCCAACTGCTCTCACGACCGAAGCACCTGTCCACTGTAAGGTAGCCAACCAAGCCCGAACGTTCTCGCTTGTGACGCCTGGTTCCAGCGGTTCGACCTGAAATCTCCTTTTTTTCCGTGATTTGGTGCAATAGTCTAGCTTCCAAAAGGCGAACCTATTTCCAGGTCCTTTGGGCAGGTCAGTGCCAGCCAACTACAAGCCAACCAGCAACTAGACCTGAGAACCTCGCAATTCTCGCAGAATTGCGACGCTTGCGCCACGTGTTTGGCGGACACTGTTTCATGTAGCCAGGAGTTGCTGCGCTTCAGATAACTTCCAAAAACATGCGTCTCCATCCCCAGATTTTCAACTCATGGCCAAAACGGGGGCCGACCGACAAAATGGCGGACTTCAAACCAAGGTGACAAGGGCACCCTCCTGTCCATGTTGGAATCCAACTAAGGGAAGACAAAGCGTCTCTAACATGGGACCCTCGTTCCGCGCCACAGGGCTACATATTAAGCAGATCCCCTTTGGGTTGGTTGAAACATCGCCTTTCGGGCCAATGACCAGTTAGCTTCCTTCTGGCGGGCAGGAAATATGGCTGTGGGTCAAGACCAATGGGATCCCATTTTTGGGTAGGTGAATTCACCACCCATTTTAGAACCTATTTTATAGTGGGGATTGGGATGTTCACTGGGGGTACGATTTGGATTTTGACCCATGGCCATATAGGGAACCCTGCGAAAGGAGGGAATTTTGAAGCACTCGCCTCACCTCACTGCCCGAGCATGAA